CTCTTCCTATTCGCCGTCGGCCTTCAAGCGGGTAACACAACACTGTCGACATATATTGTGGACAGCTACCCGGAGCACGCCATTGAGGTCATAACATTTTACTCCGTCATCATAAATGTGAGTAATCAGCCAAAGGACTGTGACCATCGAGACTGACGCCGAAAAGATGTCCGCATTTATCGTGCCCTGGTACATTTACGACTGGGCCGCCGCAGTTGGTAAGAAACATGTGGATTCCCAGTCGGAAGGCTTTATACTGACAATCGCGCGTAGGATACGGATGGTGCTTCGGCACCCAGGCAATTATTTGCGGCATTTGCCTCCCGCCCATTTATTTCGTACTTCACCGATGGGGTAATCGGTGGGTGAAGCCCATCGTGCTTTCGTCCGATGAGTTGCCCGACGTATAAAGCTCCGAAGGTAGGGATAGGGGAGGGGAAGGGGTCAGGGGGGGCCGGGCAGGGTTGAGGGGAAAAAAAAAAAAAAAAAAAAAAAAAAACAGACCTGGGGCTGGAACGCTGTCGCATTCTTGGGCGGACTCAGCCAGGTCTCGGAAGGCAGTTGAGCATCGTTGACGGCAAAATTATTCATTCAATATGGCAAGAAATCCCAGTTCCGTTGACCTATATCCTTGTCAGCCTGAGCTTTGCTGTATGACACATGTAACTCACGCGAGAAGTCCTCCCAATCAACCCCGGAAGCTTCCGATGCACTCCAAAAGGCTTCGAGTACCTGCAGCGCACGCTTCATGTTCGGTAGGCGCAGAAGAGCGAACATATTAGTCAACAACTGCGCAATCTTGCCACGTTCAGCACCTGTAGATTCGCAACCCGCGGTGAACAGAGGTGTAGTCAGTAGGGTTAGGGGTGACAAGGTTGCAGCCGGTCTAATACTCTCGACACATTCGATGATCCTGCGGACGGATATTTGTACGGCCATAGCACTGGGAGGAAGCCGGCGAATCCGTCGATGGATGTGAATGAGCGCAGTGTGCTGGTAAGCTTCGTTACAAAGCAAGAATTCCCGGGACTCCTCTACAGATAGATCACGAGCGCCCGGAATGTTGAATACCTTGGTCCGGGTCTTGTCGCGCTCGATCATCCTTCGGACTGACCTCTCCAAGAGATCGGCTTCACGTAGGAAATCCTGTTCCGAGAGCCTTGGGTGTTGGCCAGTATCATCGACTGCACGCCGTCTCTCCCAAGCCACCGCTCCGATCTCGCGGAACACCTGAGAAATATCTTCCGCACAGCCGGTGTACATGTCAATAGAGACACTTGCCTCCTCGGCTTCACCAATGAGAGATCGTGGACCACCACAAGCAATCTGGCCTGCTGACAACCCCTCAGCTGTGATCGCAACAAGAGCTTCAGTGATATTATACCACCGCTGCAAGAACGGAAGTGATGAATCCTGTTCAATCCCTTGGGCTTTGTCAGAGGATATCTCATGAGAGGACAGCAAAGCTCGTGCTCCCAGAAAATGAGCTCGCCAGGCCCGAAGAGATGGAGATCCAGAAATGGCTTCGCAGAGGAAAAGTGTTCGAGTTGTGGCGACTTTAGCGCTCAGCGGGCTCGATCTTGGGTTCTGGAGCTCCTGACGCAAATAGCGAATGCTCTTGGTCGTCAGGTGGTTGACAAGTTTTTGAGCACCTTCATCCATCTCATCTTGTGGGATAGAGGTCAATGAATTCCGATGAATAGCGGCCAACGCTAGGGTGGCATGAAGGAGGGCGGAATTTCCAAGAGCCATTGGTAATATCAATTCACAGACCTCTTGATGGACTACAGTGTGCGTGGCCAGAGCCATGGAGGCATTGCAAGTGAAGTACTGCAGCAGAGCACGGTTGTCTCGGGGAATGAATGACAACGGGTCGACGTGGTCAAAAACCCGATCTGCCACCTGGTTACTGACTGGAATTAAAGCCAGAGCAGTCTCGTCATCATTCGCTGATTCGGTCGTGGTTGATTCTGTCTCTGTAACCCTGAGAGTTTCTTTGGATGGTGGATTCTCTACTGTGTCAACGTTGGTGGCTGACGCCGAGGTGTATACAAATCCTCCGTCGAGAGTTGCTGTTGGAGGGTGTTAGTCTTGGAGACACAAAAATCCCTATTCTCAGGTAAACCCACCAGCCTTTCGCGCTCCTCCGGCCGTCTTTGAGAGACAGGTTCCAAATCGGGACTGGGTAAAGGGGCGTCCTCCGAATCTCAATGTCCTCTGGTAAGAACAATCTGCTTGATCCTTTTCACACCGAGCGCACCGCGGTTTCTGCTCCCCGCACTTTTGCCGTCGCTTCTTGCAGCGCACGCAGCCATTCCAGGACCGAGAGGGTGTTGTCATGGTTCCTTTGGTCGCTCTGTATGATGTGCAGTCGACCGCCAGATTGAGGCTGCGCAGCGTTGCGGCATTGCTCGAGTGTGCGTGATGAATTGTGTATGGGGTGTAGAGGACAGAGAGAGAGAGGAGTGGACCGACGGATCAAGTCAATTGGAGGAGAAATTGATGCTTGATAGCACAAGTCGTTGCTTAGCGCTGCTGACGAGGGAAGATGGAGGGGTCGCAGTTTAGCGGGCTACTCCGGAACAAGCGATGAACCCTGAATTCATCACGACTAACACCAAAGGGGAATGATGAAGCGACAACCATGATATGATCTATGATCATGTCAATATCGAATCAAGTCGGTTGCAAGTCCCAAGATACAAAAGCCTGGCCTCGGAGAAGGCCCTATTAGCATACATATCCATTCACATTGTGCCTTTCAAGGTTCTCTCTTGAGGCGTACCACAACCCACTGAAAATGTCCCCCCGTCTGTCGACTCGCCTCAGTATACGCTGGGTGCCTGGCGAGGCATCAGAACCCACCGATACCTTAATCATTGGAGTCGGCGGCTGGTATGTCGACCTTCGCATCACCAAGCTTGACGGGTCAATCGACTGGGCAATGGCTGGTGAAAGGCTCATATTGTCACAAGAGCCATGTGGGTGATATCCCCTCGTCCCTCGACGCTTCTGTTGAACAAGGCCCTGAACTGTACTTCGATCAAACCTTTCACTGAGACAACTATAGTAACCTGCAAATGGACTCACTGGATCGACTCGAGGGGATATACCGAGCCTGATGTCGGCAGCTTCAAGCCTGCCTCTCAATCAACGGACAGTATCGAAACAGGCAGCATGCTTCACCCAGAAACCAATATTATGACACCATACGAGGAAGTCTGGCGAACCCTCCCTGCAATCTTCACGGATCGTTTTCCTTCGGCCTGGATACTGCGCAGCGTGGATGGCAAGACTTTTCTAGGTCAGCTTGGGGGAGATTTTCTAGCTTTGAAAGGTGGAAACGAAGGACCAGCCGGGATGACGGGGTTCTGTGCCCGAAGAGAGGCTTGGGACGACGCGAAAGGTGACTGGATCACAAAATATGAAACAGGAGACGAACAGAATCTTCAAAATCTTCCTAGATTGGCCCAAGAGACGCAGAACAGAGCGGGCAAGGAGATGGAATGGGTGGAGGGCAGCAAGGAGGGCGATACTGTAGACGTCTTTGGGGCACAATACGTTGTATGTGCAATTGAAAAGTTGACCTGATCACTAAGTTGCGCATTTTCTTGTCAAATTCCAGGCAGGGTTGATTGAATATGCGTCACTGTGAGCAGATGTAGCGATGGAATTCTCAGCCTCGCGAATCTAGATCGGAAAGGAGATACGGCCGTATCCTCGCACTCATACCCAAGGTTGCCCACCCCCCATCTCTTCCACCCGACAGTATTACGCACGCATTTACACGCGCAACAAGCGGCGGCGGGAAGAAGAATCATTCCTCTGCGTCCTACATCAGACGTGACTCACGTTTCCCGATCTCCCTGTTCTACGTCGCGCTGAGGAACAGTCCGGCGTCAAAGCCAAGGAGACGATCAATGCGTTATATGTAAAGATGACAACTACCTTACCGGGCTGTGATGGATATACGCCCTTGGCAAGGATGAATTAGGATCCGGTCCATCACGAACGAAGGTGTGAAGAGATGCTCAATATATCTCGCATCCTTGAGTTTGTCGGGTGGTTGTGATAGGAAAATGCAGCTCTGATATAAAATTACGGTGGAAAGCTGAGCCAACCTAGACATAATTGTGTTAATTTCAGCAATCTCTTCGACAGTACACCTCGAATATTCTGTCTCTCGAAACGATCCTCGAACAATTAGACCTGGTAGAACAGCGAGAAACGCAGTCAAGCATGCCATTCAAGCCCCAAGACATTCCCGACCTGTCGGGTCGAGTATACTTTGTCACTGGAGGTACGGCTGGTCTGGGAGCGGGCTCCATTTCCTTGCTTGCCGCGCACAACCCAGCACATATCTACTTTTCCGGGCGGAACAGCGATAAGGCCAAACGGGTGATTGAGAAGGTCCAGTCGCAGAACCCGGATGTGCCCCTTACCTTCATCGCCTGCGACCTGGCAGACATGGCTTCGATACGAAAGGCTGCCGAGCAATTTCTCGCTCAAGAATCGCGGTTGGACGTCCTCTTCGCCAATGCGGGAGTCATGGCTCTGCCTCCCAGCACGACGGCAGACGGGTATGAGATCCAGTTTGGTACCAACCACCTGGGCCACGCGATGCTGATCAAGTTGTTTCTTCCGTTGATGCAGCGGACCTCGAAGAATGTCCCCGGAGCGGACGTGCGGATCGTCAGTTGCTCGTCGATCGCGTACAAGCAAGCACCCAGAGAAGGGATCGCTTTCGACACGCTGAAAACACCTCAGGATGGATTGGGCAGCCTCGTTCCCGGTGGGAAGTGGTGCCGCTACGGACAGAGCAAGCTGGCGAACCTGCTGTACGCGCGGGCATTGGCGAAGAGGTACCCCGACATCACCTCCGTCGCTATTCACCCAGGTTACATCAAAACGGATATCTTCACAGGAGTCTCATTTATGACCACCCTCCCTGTCCGCGTCTTGGCCGCAGGTAACTGGACGTCCGTCGAGGAAGGACCGTACAATCAAACCTGGGCGGGGACCACTGCGAAGGACAACCTCGAGAACGGCGCGTACTATGTCCCCGTCGCGACAAGGGGGGTATTGGAAACGCCGGCGGCAAAGGACGATGCACTGGCGGATAAATTGTGGGAGTGGACCGAGAAGGAGTTGGCTCTGTTTTTGTGAGGATGCTATAGTCAGGTAGTATCGCAAGGCTTGCGCAGAGTGTTCATCGTGGTGCACGCTGGGGAAAGACGCAGGTACCAAAGTCATCACGAAACACGAGGAAGGCCATGGCAATTATCTCCTCTCTAATATTGTACAATACCCTTAATCAGTTAAAATGAGGCATCTGAATGAGAATGCGGCCATAGTGTATCGTATCCATTTTGCTGTGCTAGGAAATTGGAGGTGTGTGAGGAATGTCCAGGTACAAGGGAGCAGTACCGAGTACGAGGTTGACAAGGCTACGCAGGGCTGTGGCACCCACCCACTGCCTAAAGAGGGAGCCGCAGGGATTATCTTTGGACCGAGGCTTGTGGACAAATTCGGTGCATCTCCAGCCCTTCTCCGCGCCCTTCGCTAGCTCGCTGCGACCTCGAAAAGCCAATGCGGAGATGGTCGAGTACCGGGATCTAATATTAATGATATGAAAGCCCCCTCCCAATGGATCGATCCCTCGACCTTCGGATGATGGAGTGATTACAGTCACTTCCTGTCCAAGTTGAATCCAGAGCTCGTCAGATCCCGTCCCTCATACACACCCGCACAGACCTCCCACGACATGTCTTCAAAGTCGACCTCAGACTCGGCAGCTTGGAAAGCCATCGCAGCCCGCAAACAGGCCTCGCGCGCTGCCCGGATCCCTTCGAAATGGCACATCCCCCCTACCGTCCTGCCCAAAGATCCCCCGAGCTTGGAGCTGGGTCCGCAAAACGTCCTGGATGTGCCTCGCCAGTTCCTCTCGCGCTCCGAGATCGACATCACTGAAAACTACACGGTGGAAACCCTCCTGTCAGCTCTGGCGAGCAAGAAACTGTCGTGCGCAGAAGTCGCCGAGGCCTTCTGCCATCGTGCAGCCATAGCCCAACAACTCACAAACTGCCTGACAGAGCCACTCTTCGACTCGGCCATCCACCGCGCAAAAGAGCTAGATGCATACTTGTCACAGACCGGGAAACCCTTTGGGCCGCTTCATGGGCTGCCGGTGTCTGTCAAGGATACATTCAACGTCAAGGGCGTGGACACGAGCATCGGATTGGCTTATCTGTGCGAGAAACCCGCGACGGAGAACGCCCCATTGATCAATCTTCTGTTGTCGCTGGGCTGTGTGATCGTGGCAAAGACGAACATCCCCCAAACGCTCGCGTCGCTCGACAGCATCAACAATGTCTTTGGGAGGACGATGAATCCTATCAACCGCCTCTGCACAGCTGGTGGTTCAAGTGGCGGAGAAGGTGTCCTTGTGGCCATGAAGGGCAGTATTCTTGGGATAGGAACGGATATTGGCGGCAGTATCCGAGTGCCAGCCATGTGCAACGGCTTGTACGGCTTCAAGCCATCCAACAACCGGATTCCCTACGGTGGACAGGCACAGACCGGAAGAGAAGGTATGAGTCGTACGAGTGTGCAAGCTGTGGCGGGTCCCATAGCGCGGAGCGTGAGAGACATTGACGTCTTCCTGCGAGAGGTGATCCCAAGGGCGCCGTTGTGGGGAGAGGATTGCATGCCGTGTCCATGGCCCGTCTCAAGCCCTTCTCCTCAACAGATCCAGGGCAGCGGGCCGAATGGCGAACTTGTAATTGGCATCCTACGAAGCGACGGAAACTGCACCCTCCTTCCACCGATCACTACCATTCTGAATGAAGTCTCTGTCGGGCTGTCAGGCGCAAGCTCACGCACGGGAGTTAAAGTCCTGGTTAAAGAACTGCTCACGCCCCGCGCTTGGACGCGATCGCAGTCTGTCATGAGCAAACTGATGGGCGTCGACGGTGCGGTCGTCATGAACCACATGATCCAGTCTACAGGTGAGCCGTTGGTGCCGTGGATGCAGACGCGATTCCGCTCAGGCAAGCCGCAGGCTCTGGAGCGCGTGGCGGAGTTGCAGGCGCAACGATCCCAGCTAGAACGCGAGATGCTCGAGCTGTGGAGTGAGGTCGACGCGCACGGCCGACGCCGGCAGGTCCTCGACGCCATCATCTGCCCTGTCGCACCTCACCCGGTCCCGCCCATCGAAGGCTACAACGCCGTCGGCATGACCTCGTCTTGGGTCCTGTTCGACTACCCCTCCGGCACCGTCCCCGTCCGCCCCGTCGTCGAAGCTGACCTGGAACTCGGCAGGCCGCTGGCCGCCGGCACGGTGCTTGGTAGCTGGGACCAAAAGTGCCGCGAGCTGTGGGACGAACACGTCACCGATCGTAGGGTCTACCTCGACACGCCGCTGAGCGTGCAAGTCGTGGTGCAGCGAGGGAGGGATGACTGGCTGTGCAAGGTGATGGGCGTCGTTGACGAGGTAATGAAGTCTCAATCAGCTTCCGGAGAGATCAAGGCCAGATTGTAACTTGTTTGACGATTACACAAAACTACTCTCCGACTCGTTACGCAGCGATTCACTCACCCACACCTAAAAGAACTAGGGGAAGTGAACTAAAAGATGGAATTCCACACTCTCGGACAAGCCACATTGAGGTCGGTGGTAGCATAACAGGCTCGCACGTGTGAGAGAAATGTGTACATGTATGTGTACATGGTGTACCCGAGGATAAGTGTAGATACCACCACCATGAGAGCAGTATATGTTGGTGAAAAGGGAAATCTAGAGTACATGACTTACGACCCCTTGCGGGCAACCGTGGTACTTACTATCTGTTGTGTGCGCCCACCTACATCCATACTCATAGCTTCGCATACTCCTGAGAGTTTTACTAACTAGCAAAGCATACATGTAAATCAGGACGATTCAATCGCTCCAACAAATCCAAAGCCTGGCCAAGATACCATCATGAATCACTCGACTTCTATTATTTTTCTAGGTACAGGATGACTGGATGCGGTGTGAGGTGAGGCTGGCTTGCGTTCAGGCTGCGGGCGTCGTGATGGTGTCTTGGTGTGTTGGTTGCCTCAAGGACTGGGCGCAGCCACTGCGGAAACGAACTGCGCACCCACCAGTTGGATTTCTTGATCGACCAGCCACCAAAGCATGGACGCCTGACCGCCTTACTGCCTTACCCCGTTCAGCAACTGTCTGATCGTCCCTGTTCGACTTGAACGGAAGCCGTGTCTCCCTCTGACACTGATCCATCCAATCAACACCTGCCGCGCAGGCGTACTCCGTGTTCACCTAATGGCGACGAGAAAACCCCCCGAAATTGGATGCAGTGTGTCGCTCGCTTCCATTCTCTTTGGCTCAGCTGCTCCTGGTGCTGCAAGCTTGCATGCAGAGTCACCCCCTCTTGGGCCTTCGCTTGACATCTGGACACATCGAAAAGGGTACCCGGCACCTTCGCCTGCCACTGCCAATGCTGGAGGCTGAAGATTGACGGTGCACAAGGCCAGCAGCTGAAAAAAAAAAGGAGGAGCTTTCCGTGTCCTGTGATTCAGGGTTGGGGGTCGCATGAGGTACGAGGGACAGCTGGGCCACCCTATATCAAGCCTGTCAGCCCCCAGGCACTGAAAAAGTGCTTTGTCCCCTGTAAGACATGAAAAAAGGCTTGCGTGGCCAGCAGCGAGGAGTGATCAGACACTTTCCAGCCGCCAGTTGACAGAGTATTTGTACCGAGTAGGTTGAGCGAATGTCACTGCACATCTTAAGGCATCACTGACCCAGCGTGAACGCCTTGCCTCTCTTGCAACGCTCACCAAAGATCCCAAACACTATGGCACCATCGCACCCCAGGAAACGCATAGTCGTGTGCTGTGACGGTACGTGGCTCGACAGTGACGGTGACTACCAGACCCCCAGTAACGTCACCCGCATTGCGAGAGCCATTCCACCAGTCGGTGAAGACACGTCCACCACTCCTCCTCAGCCAATCACCCAGGTCGTCTTCTACCAAAATGGTATTGGCACCGGGTCTCCCTCCCTGTACGACAGATTCATTGGAGGCGCTACTGGCGAGGGTCTTGCGGAACATATCCGGGAAGCTTACAGCTTCATCTGTCTCAACTACAACGATGGAGATGAGATTTTCCTACTTGGCTTCTCGCGAGGAGCATTCACCGCCCGTTCAATCTCCAGCTTGATCAACGCAGCTGGTCTCCTTACCCCGAAAGGGCTGGAGTATTTCGTGCAGGTCTTCGAAGACTGGGAGTTTCAGCAGAAGAAAGACTTCAAGTCGAAGTGGCCAGACCTGCCCTTTGTGGGCCATAAACCCCCAGTCACCCATCCAGACTACCAGAAGAAGCTCATCGATGATGGGCTCACACGGCCGAACATCAAGGTCAAATGTGTCGCCGTTTGGGATACTGTCGGTGGACTGGGCATTCCCATGGTCGGACTCTTGCCACAGCCGCCTAGCACAGACTTTGCGTTTGTTGACACGCGGGTCGAATCGAATATCGAGTATGCATTCCAGGCTCTAGCCCTGGACGAACACCGACGTTCTTTCTCTCCCACTATTTGGGATTGGCCGCATGAGGAACCCAACGACTTGAAGTCCCTCAAACAATGCTGGTTCCCGGGTGTGCATAGCGACGTTGGCGGTAGCTACGACGATACCGCCCTTGCAAATCTCACCCTGGCGTGGATGATCAGCCAGCTGGATCCCATTCTAACAATTGACCACGGCTACATTTTGAGCTACATCACACCCGTTCAGAAGGACGATATGGAGCTCTCCGGGCGACATCAAACATTCACCCACACCGGTCGCATGGCCACTGTCAGTAACACCACACCACACGCGCGACCCTGGGGTTTGGGTAAGATTCATGACAGCATGAGTTTCTTCTTCAAGCTAGGCGGCTCGCGTATCCGTACTCCTGGCGAATACCGTGAACAAGAGCTGGCTTCCCAGCATGGGGTGCTCTTCTGGATGCTATACAAGATCTTCCACCGTCTCAGCAACCGCTTCGAGGACAAGCACCACGCGCTTCCACGGTTGAGGAGGACCAACGAAACAATTCACAGCAGCGTCCGCATCCGCATGGGCAAACATGGTCTCGGCTACAACGACAAAGGGACATATGACTCGCAGGCTCTAGAAGGCTGGGTCATGTTCGGGGTAGAGACGAACCCCGACACGCCTGTCGCCATCAACGCTCCCGGGGCCGTGGGCAAGATGAAGAATGTTGTGTGGAAGAAGCAGGTCTTCCCAGAGAAGGTCATCGAACCCCCGTCCCCCAATGGGGAGAGGAAGGGCAAAGTCGAGATCTTTGAGGACGCGGGCAAGACACATTCTCTCGAGCTCGAGGAGGAACCCCTAGGCGCCTTTGAGCGCAAGATCCTCCAGGACTGGCCCGTGGGTGACATCAAGAAAGACTTTGACACCATTGTTCCTGGGAGACATCAGCAGAACGTCGACCGCGCGCATACAGTGCCCCTGGATGCTCATGACCATGTTCGCGGCTCCTCGAGCAGCAGCACTGCCAAACCTGGAGACCCGCTGACCGTGCAGACCGGAAAGAGGAGGAGCGAGACCAATTGACAGTGGCCAAGCCCTCGTGCTTCATGACATGGTCGTTCAGGGGAGAATACGAGATTCGCCCTTCCCGGCTGACAAGGGACAGAGAGACGTACTTTACCGGCGGTGAGTTTAATGACAGGAGCGACTTGAGTTTCGAATTCATACCGGTGCGAGGGAGTTTCATTCGACCGACCGACCGACCGACCGGATTGATTACTACTCACTGTGTGACCAAAAATGGACATGGATAGTTTACATAATTAGCAAGCGATGGACATTGGCAAGCAGGGCGAAATGTGTTGCAGGCAGGAGTTGATGGCACAAGAGACAAAGGATATGGATGAGTTTCGTACACAGAGGGCTGACAAGTTAGAACGGGGCATTCCAACCAATAGTAGGTCAGACTACTCGTCCCAGCCACAGCTGTACGAATAGCCAGCTGGCCAGCTACTCTGTACGCAAGGCTGAATCACATCTTGCGTTGTTTTCTCGAGGTCCTGGGACCCCTAAATTTCTTTTTCTTCATTTTGTTCGAGTCAACTGTCTGTCTCTCTGGCTGTCTCACTGTCTGCCTGCTTCGCTGTTGCGTTCGCTCTATGATAACAACCCACCAGCATGCCGTCCCAATAAACTATGTACAAAAATGAGCACATTTTCGTCCCGTTGACGTCTCTCTCCATCATTCCTTAAGACCAATCACCGCCGGTCAATGTCGCATCTCCGTCTGGCTTTCCCCAGCCCTCGCGACGCCACAGTCAGCTCCGGTGATTTCACTCGTAGTTCAAAGACACGCAAGAAACCTCCATGGTAAGATAGCCCATGTCGAAACTCCCGGTCTCCATTCAGCCCAGTCAAGACAAACCCACTCTGCAAGGAACACGGGTGCTCTGATGCTATTTCGTGCTGTGCTTGGGTTAGTCTCATCACCAGGTCTATGTTTACCTCAACTTGTACAATCTCACAGCGAAACTGCGGATAGATTCATTTCTTTTTGGCATTTTTCAGCGTTTTCACCTTTTTTTGGGTGTAGGATGTTTTGAAAGCAACTTCTGCTCCCAGGCTTGTAGAAGCTTCGTCGCTGTAAACAAGGAGTTCACGTGGGCATTCCCCAACATGAGGGCGCCGATGGTCTTGAAGATAGCATACATCGCACCTCGTGGGCCGCAGGATCATGCGGGTGTTGCAGTGGGGGTTGGTGTTGGTGTAGTTGTCATTAGTCTTGGTCGTTTCACAGCATCGCCGTCAGGTTGGACGTCCTGCAAGGGGTTAGTACGACGCCGATTAGACCTCGTGGCATGGACATACCTCGACCTCATTGATGCTACGCCGGACCGGCTTGGCCTCTGGCTTGGGATTCTTAATCACCTTTTTGACCGGTTTACTCGGTCGGGTTTCGCCGGCTTTTGCATCGAAGAGATCTTCAGGCAACTCCCAACTGTTCTTGTCAGCATTTCTCTCGAAGGTAGAATGAGCAAGGGAGCGTACTTTTTGGACGATGCGAGATTCAGGAAATGGACTTCCGGATTGTAATTGTTCCACCCCTCGCACACCTGCTTGAAGGCCTGGAATGCTTGGACCAGATTCAAGCTTCCTTTGGCCACCGTGTCGATACCAATGTAGAATGTGTAGGTGTAGATGGTGTGCGCATCCCGATCATTCTCCTGACTGGTATTTTCCGACAAGGGAACTGCGGCACCTTCCCCGTTAGTCGTCACCAGTTCAGGATCGGTCGTCTCAACAGTCTTCGTCTCTTCCACTTTGTACTTCATGCTGCCTCTCTGCACTTCTCGGATTTGATCAACGTCTTGGCACTTGTGCACACGTTTGAACCCCTTAGTAAACGGTCGAGCAAGTTCGATTCCCTTGGTGCCTTCTAACTGCATGACAAAGATCCGAACTTTGCTTTCGACAAGACCCGCCCATGCCTTGGCCGCGT